AAAAACATTTCTTAAAAAGAAAAAGCAACAGGCAAAGAGGACGACTGGATATCGGAGCAAATCATGACACGACAGAAACGAAGGCAGTGGCAAAGGCGCGGAGAACGCCACGAGCTGCGCCTGAAGCAACTGGAGGCCTCTGGATTCTTCTCTCACTCACGCTGTCCCTAGAAATCAGTCACGTGTGAATCAAACACTGCAAATAAACACAGAGGAATCGAAGGCCAAAATACACAGCAGGAGCTGCTCAGCTTCACCCGAAATCAAGGAAAAGAAAATGACGAGATACAATTTTTCGTCTATCAGGCAAATTTTAAAACATTTAATAACATCAGTGTCAGAGGTGGGAGCTGCCTGGCCGGTGTGAGCCAGCCAGCGCCGTGGAGGACAACGGGGCCCAGGAAGCGAGAGGATGCGTGTGCTCTCAGCAGGCCGCCTGCGCTGGGCACAGGGGCGGGTGAACGAGACAGCGTGGAGCCGAGGGGGAGAGAGTGCAGAAGCCTCCAGGAGCAGGGACACCACGGGGAGGGACAGCATAGACAGTTTGCCAGTTTATCCCCCTTAAAAGGTGACAGGAGGGCAGACCCACAGCTACTGACTGGGGAAAGGTTCAACACATTTTGAGGGAAAAAAAGCAAACCGAGGGAAAAAAAATCCACGTGCACAGAAAATATGCATTGCTAAAGATCCTCAGGAATCTACAAAGTAACTACCAGACCCAATATAAGGTCACAGGATATGAGATTAATATTAATAAAAGAAAATCAGTTGAACTTTTATATACTAGTAAAAAACTGGAAAAAACTCCATTTACAATGGCATAAAAAACTCTAAAACACTTAGCAAAGGCTTATTTTAAAAGAGTAACACCTCTACACTGAAAACCATAAAACACTGGAGACAAAAAAATAAACAGTGAGATATACCATGTTCATGGATTTAAAGACTCAATATTGTCAAGATGGCAATCCTCCTGAAACTGATCTGTAGATTTAGTGCAATCCCAACCATAATCCCACCACGCTTTTGTTGTTTTTAAAGAAACTGATAGGCTAATGGCAAAGTTTATATGGAAATGCCAAGGACCGAGAACATCCAAAGCAATCTTAAGAAGAACCAAAATAAAGAACTTACATTGTCCAACTTCCAGGCTCACTTCACAGCTACGGAAATCAAGACGGTATGGTACTTGCTAAGGCACGACAAAGAGACGATGGGCAGAGAGCCCGGAAAGACCCGCGCTGACGAGGCCACCTGATTCTTCAGAGGCACCAAACAATCCAGTGAGCAAAGAACAGTCTTTGTAAGAAATGGTGCTGGAACAACTGAGTCACATATCCACAGTGGGGAACAAAAGGACCTGAACCACTAGAGTTCACACCACAGACAAACGTTAATCCAAGATGGACCCAAAACCTAAATATAAAAACTAAAAGTATAAAGTTCTTAGAACAAAGCATAGGAAAATATCTTCACGACTTGGGACTAGGCAAAACTTTCTTAAACAGAACACACACACACAATAACCACATAAGAAAAAAATATAAATTAAACTTCTCAAAATTAAACTTCTGTTCACCAAAAATAAATTCTTAAGAAAATGAATAGGCAAGTCACAGTCTGGGAGAAAATATTTGCAACACACATACTCGAGCAAGGACTGGCCTCCAGAACATACAAAAATTCTTAGAACACAATAATAAAAAGGCAAACAGCCTCATGGAGAATGAATTTCACTGAAGGTGAAGCACCAACGGGTAGTAAGCATGTGAAAATGCTCTGTTCGTGGCAACGAAAATTAACACCACCATGAGCTACCACTTCACCATCACCAGACGGCCAAGACTGAAGAGACACACACCACCACACTGGCAGAATTACGGGGCAACCAGAACTCTCATGCTGCTGGTGGGAGTGTAACGTACAACCACTTTAGAAAAACGTCTGGCAGCTGCTTATAAAACTAAACATACACCTACCCTATGACCCAGCGTTCCATTCCTGAGAATTCACCCGCGAGAAATGAAAACACATCCACAAAAAGACTGGTGAAGAATGTTCACAGCAGCCTTATTCGCAGTAGCTACAAATGGAAAAAGCCAGGTGTCCGTCAACAGGAAGGTGGATGACAAACGGTGCATCCACACGACAGAACGCGCTCAGCGATGAAAAGGCACAGACTGCTACGTGCAGCCTGGATGGGTTTCAAAGAACATTACTCTGAGCAAAAGAAGCCAGACAGAAAGCGCATCCCACATGATTCCATTTACATGAAGTCTACAGCAAAAAAACCTCGACTACAGACAAAAAAAGACCCAACCGTGGTTATTACCTCCGGGGTAGCAGGAGTGGGACTGACTGCGAAGGGGCTGGGGACTCTGGGTGACGGGGACGGTCACTGAAAGGCACACGTAAGGTGTGCATTTCAGCACATGTGAACACAATTTTCAAAAGAAAAAGAAAAAAGAGAAAACAAATATTGAACTCCAGCAGAATTATTTGGGGGAAAGTGTACTGATGTCTGCAGCTTACTCTAGAACGCAAAAAAACATGTGTTCACGGACAGACGGACAGACAGGAACTGACGGGTGAACAGTTACATGATAAAGACTGGAAAACCCACATGGTGGGCACGAGTGTGTTCACCATAAAATTCTTCTCACTTTCCCAAATAAAATATTTCATAATAAAATATGAAGTAAAAACAACTTGAGAGATGTAGCTAAAGCTATACTCAGACGCTAACTTACAGCCTTTCATTCCTAAACAAAACACACGGAAGCAGATAAGCTAAGTAACTCAAAGGAACCTAAAGAAAGCTCACATGGGGAATTAATAAAACAGAAACTAGTAATGTAGAAAACAGAAGACTAGAATTGACCATTAAATCCATGAATTAATTCTTGGCACGGATGAGATAAAACTTCTTAACCAATCTAATCAGCAATGACGGGGTGGAGGACAACAAAGAGTGGTAAACACAACATAAGACATACACATCTTATATGAGAAAGCAACATACAGCCCTTTGCGAATCAAGGTTGAGATCTGATTAAATTCGATTATTTTATGGGAAAATACAAGTGGCCAAAATTGACTCAAGTAGTAAAAAAAAAAAAAAAATACCACGCACCATAGAAGACAATTTACACATCCTCAAAGAACTACAGCCCAGAAAAGTGCCAGGTCCAAAGAGCCACAGCCCACTGGCTTGTCCGGACCCCCTCTGCACAGCTGGAACTGTGAAAACAAAACTGGGGGAGGAGTCGTTTCCCTGGGACACATCCAAAAAGTGACAGAAAACATGAAAGTGATAACCGTGGAAAACACTGACAAACTTTTCTAAGTACTATCTCTGAAAAACATAAAATTTCTTTAAAATTCCCAAGGAAAAAATAATGCAAATCATACTTTACCATGTGAGAATATAAAAAAGAAAATATTCCGACGCCATGGCACTCTACTCAGGGCAGTAGAGTGAGACTCTGTCTCAAAAAAAAAAAAAGAAAATATTCCAAGTTAATTTCACAAAGTCAGCAGAATCACACTGAAAGATAACACTAAGAAAAAAATTACGCAACAATCTTGACAAGAAAATCTTCGGAGCATCAGCAAACATCCCACATTGTGAAAATGACTACGCACTCCAAAACTGAACGCGTGAGAAGAGGGGTGCTCAGCCTGTCGTGGGGCGTCTGGCAGGACGTGCGTGGACAGCGTGACCCCCAGATGGAGACTGGGAGAGAAGGCCCCAGGCCCTGAGAGGGAACGGCGACGCCAGGGGCCCTGCCACACGGAGACCACTGCACAGAGACCACGTTGTCACGTGCAGGTCTGGAAGGACACACGTCTGACCCGAGAGGGGTTTCACATGCTACTGCAGGTACTTCTGAAACATAAACGACGCTAACAAGCACGGGTTACTTCTGTAATTAAAAATCTCTTCATGGCAACCAAAAATAGGTGTTTTTACAAACAAGGAGCCAAGAGCAGCAGCTCCTCAAGTGCGCCTTCCGAGGAGAGGGGATCAGGCTCCCCAGGCCCCACACAGAGCAGCTGGGCCATGCTGCCAAGTCCCCCGGCCGTCCCCTCTGTGCCTCAGCTGCCCCTGGGCCCCACGGCAGCCTTCCAGGCCATGCCCTCGGGCACCTGCTCCCAGAGGACCTGACAGGGAGTGTCGGGGTGGAAGCCCCAAGACACGAGCACGGACTTACTCTGCAGCCATCGCTCCCGTCTCAGCTTCAACTTCTCCTTCTTGGGCAGAATAGCCTTGGCCTCCACACCTGGGGACAGAGAACACGCGGTGAGCCAAAGGGGTCCAGGTGCTGTTTCTGCTCGAAACACCAGGACAAAAGCCTGGGCTTCCCAAGCACATGGACCTGAGAGCAAGACTTGGGCAGACTCTGGCTGTGCGAGGACCACTGCCGCCCACGTCCCGGCCACTGGACTCTCGGCAGCTGGTCTGTGCCTGGGCCGGGCAGCTATTCCTGCCTCTCAGCCTCCGGAGCGGCAGGTGGTGCTGGGGGCACTCGCAGTGTGTGCTGGCACATCAGGGGGCTCTCTAGCACCAGTGTCCCTCGGAGGTGACGCCTGGCCACTGACCACTGTGGGCTGCCCTGCAAAGCCCAGGCAGGCAGTGCCCAGCAAGGAGGTCTCCCCGCCCCACCCTCCTCTGAGATGCCCACCAGGGCTGGCGGCAGCGTAACTACGCAGGCAAGGCCCCAGCTCACGAAGAGGAACAGAACTGGGGAGAAGCCAGCAGACCGGTGGCTCTCCCAGGTGTCCCTGAGAACCTGCACGTTCTTCAAGTGCAGGTGGGGAGTCAGGCCCAGGCAGCATGTCTGCTCTCTGCCACACTCCATGACATGTGCACGGGGACTAGGGGGGCAGCATCCCGGACCCCACACAGCGTCAAGGTTCTCAGGACCTCGAGGAAAGCACTCGGCCAAGGCCACCCGCAGTACACGGCAGACGACGAGGGCAACCCGGGACAGGGAGCTGTGCTCTGAGCGGCCGAGCCACTGCGGACACCTTTGCTACCAGGGATCCTGCCCCATCCTGTGCCCACTGGCCCCACCCAGCCCCCACCCCGAGGGACATCTGTGCTACTAGAGAGCACCCAGCACAGGGCCAGCACTCCAGCCCCACTCACCATGGCCCCAGACCTACCCGGGACCACAGGGGTCCTGTCCTGCCCCGTCTGGGTGGGGTTTTGCAGGAGACATCTGTGGCACCCAGAATGAGGCAGGAGCAGGCACCGGACGCCCTCAGCCCCTGCATGACCTGGCCCCCATAAAGTCACAAAAACGAAACGGAGGAAATGATCCCCGCGGGGCTCCGGGGGCAGGGGTGACAGCAAGGCAAGGGCTGGCATCCGGGCACAGGCTGAGCGCTTCGTGGGAGGACAAACAGGCCCCCAGCAGGGGTGCAGGTAGAGAGGGGAAGACAGGGTCTGAGGGCCCCTTGCGAGCACAGATCAGGACATCGCCGCCCCCAGGGTCCAGTGCTTACATGAACCTGCCTACTGCCAAGCTCCCCTGAGCGCAAGGCACCCTGGGACAGGTGAGCACCTTGGGCCGGCCCTGTTCAGTGTAAGATTATTGGGAAACATTCCCAAAAGGACAAAAGCACCTCGAGTGGGCACTGCCCCCGCACAGACTGCGCACCGCCCCATCTGCGTGGATGGCGTCCCTGGGCTGTTAGGCCTGTCCAAGCTGGGCTGCCCTGTGGAGGAGCACGTGGGGGAAGGAGGGGTTTCCTACGAACCAGGATGAGGGGACAGGAGGGCGACCCTGCGGAGGGAACGACAGAGGGTGGCCAGCCCCCGGGGCAGTGTTTGAGGCAAGGGCTGCACAGCTCACGGTTTCACGCCTAGTCTCACACCCGCCAGGAGGAAGAGAAAACCCTTCCAAGCTTGGCCAGAACCCCACCCGCGCCGGGGTGGCCTCGCATGGGGCAACCGTTGGGCACCAAAGGTGACCCGTGGGCACTCGGGACACCCAGCTGCCTGCAGAGGCAAAAGGGGCTCTTGGGATCAACTTCCTCAGGTGAGACCCTAAGGCCTGGCCCACCCCACTGTCACATACAGGGCATGATGCCACCAGCAATCACGAAACGACACACCCTACAGTGAACGCTCCCAATTCCACCCGCCCCAGCCCTGATCCAGATTCCTGGGTCCCTCCAGGGCACCTGGATGTCCAGAGTCGCAGCAGAGACGGCAGCGCCTCACCCCGCTGGCCTGCAGATCTGCTACCTAACTCCGCGGTCTGTGCTTCCTGCTCCGCCTCCATTAACACTTGTCTGTTTTATTCTCCTCGTGAACCAACTCGCGCATTTGTTACGTCCACCTCGTGTTTGCTTCTGAACTCAAACGCTCCACCTCCGCTGCTCCCTTCCTGCCTTCCCTGGGCACCCTGACCGCCTGTCCTCCTTCCTCCTCTCGTGCTACCTCAGCCCCAGCTCCTGTACTCTGGTCCCGACGGCACCTCTGCCCCGTCCATTTCAGGTGTTGGGCCATTCGTGTTCCGAGTCCCTCTCTGACCCGGGGGCTGCGGAGACTACGTGGGTCTCCAGATGGCCCCGGGTTCACCTGTGCTGTGTGCTGCAGCAACGCCAGGGTCCTCCGTGGCCCAACATGCAGCCAGCTCTTGTCAAGGGCATTTGGACAATCCAAAGTTTCATTTTCAGGGAACTGCACCGGAAATACATTGGTTGGATTTACTGTCCTGATGTTCGTTAGGCCTTACATCCCCTCTGCTTAGTCAGTCAAAGGGCAAGAGGTAAATGACCATGAGTCCTGCCCCTGTCCGCCGGGGTCCGGCTGTGGGCTCAGTCTCCAGCCCCCTCCCCTGCCACACGGGCCGCTCCAGGGATGGGCGTCCCGCCACCTGTTGAGACTGGTCACCCCACCACACCAGCTGCTCCCTCCACCCTGCACAGTGGGGGGGAGCGGGGAGGGAGGGGTGGCTAGAGCTACGCAGAGCTACGTGGCCGTGGCCCGGGCTAGACTGCCGTGGCGTCAGCCTAGCTCACAGAAACTCAAACTCCTGAGCTCAAGCGATCCTCCCGCCTCAGCCTCCCAGAGTGCTGGGGTTGCAGGCGTGAGCACGGCGCCTGGCTGTCTACAACCTTTTGAACATTGATTTTTCAGCCCTCACTGTGCTAAGCACCTCACCATCAGTCCGTCCAGGACTGGAAGGAAACGTGCCGACTGTACTTCCTCTGCTCTGGCTTTGGACACGAGGGCGCTGAGGACGTCAAGGTTCTTGTCAGTCCTCTTAAGGACCTTGATGCCCACACCCAGGTTCTCTCGATGTTGCCTGATTTCCTCTGAATCTTTACTGTGGTGACGATTCTTTCTGCAACTTTCCATGTGACTTTTATTTCTGTCACAAAATCATCGCTCCCCATGGTTTCTTCCCCAGGATTTGCTGTCTTAACGCTCTGGTGCCCTGGTCTGGAAAGGGCCCCTCCACCCCGGGAGCTTCTGCCTCCCTCACGGCACGGGGCTCTGGGGCTGCTCCTCACCGGCCCGCGCTGGCCCTGCGCCCCTTTTGCTCTCAAGGTGTCCCACATCCATCCACGGCCCCCGCGTTTGGATCAGAAGGTGCGCGCCGCACGCTCGGGAACTCCTGCCTGCTTTCCGGGCTGTCCTCATGGCTGCAGAACAGGCCTGGGGTGTGGTCTGAAGAGGCGGCCCCCAGTCCCAGCCACGAGGGCAAGGGCAGGAGGCAGCCTGCGGCCCTGAGCACTGACGCGCACACTGAGCCCGTGGACACACCACTCTGACCTGGGGGCAGTGCTGGCTCTTGGCAGGCAGCCTGGGCGCAGGCCTGCGGGGCACGTGGCCGCTGCTCCCCCTGGCTGACCGGGAGCAGCTCTTGGCGACTCCTCTCCCTGCCAATGTGCCGAGTATGTGCTTCCTGCGGAGATGGCTCTGCTGCCCTTGCCGCCAGATGGACAAAAACAGTTCAGGGTCATTCCCACAGGCCCCTCCGCCCCTGCCAGCCTGGCCGTTCCAAGCAGAGGTCACAGGATCCCACCCTCTCAGCGTCTCCAGCTTCCCAGAACGTGGCACGGCCTGGGCCAGCAGGGCAGGCGCCTCCCAGCCCCGCTCCCGCCAGCCAAGCTGCCGTCTGCATATGCAGGCTCGGGGCCCTGGAGGCTTCCAGCTCCTCTCTGTGTAACCCACCTGGGGCAGAGAAGCTGCCCGTTTGGGCAGGCAGGGAGGGCTCAGGGTCCAGGGAGTGTCTTCCTGAGCTCAGGGTGAGCTGAGAAGCCTCCTGCTGGGCCAGTGCTGCTGTCCCAGGCTCTGCTCACAGGTCTGCCAGCCGCTTCTCCTTGCATCTGCCACCCAGGGCCCAGGACAGCAAGTGCTGCCTGGACGGTAGCCCAGAAGGGACGGCACGGGTGTTAGTCACCTGGCTGGTGCGGGGCCTGGCAGCAACTGGGCAGGAGCTGCAGCCAGAGGGGCAGCGCCTCAGAGACCTTGGCCGGAGCTGCTGGTGGATTCTCTCAGGGACAGTTTAGGAAAGAACGCACGGTGCCACCCCCTGCAAGTGAAGTCGGACCGCGATGGACAACAGGATGGCCCAACACGACCAGACCCACAGGCAGAGGCAGCGCGGCTTCGCCCGCTCAGAACGGCTCCTTGCGGCTCACGGTCAGGGCTGCAAGCCCTGTTCCAGGCTCGGGCCCCGGGGACACGGAGGCGAGAGGACGAGGTGTCCCCTGAGCCAGTTACGCCACGCACACTGGGAGGGGCCTGGGACGACCCCCTCACCCTGGCAGGACTAATGATGGCAGAGCCCCCAGAGCCTGCAGGGAGCCGTGAGCAAGGGTCCCCTCCTCCGACCCTGGACGCGCTGAGGCCCCCAGGTCCCCGTCTGCCTGGCATTTCCCTGCACAGGTGCTGTGTGCAGCAGGGTCTCAGGTTAAAAGACCTGCTTCTCCTCAGACCGTGGCTTCTCTGGGGGCCGTCAGACCGTGCTCACCTGCCAGCAGAGACGTGTTCCTGTCTCGCTCACCTGCGGCAGGGGTGGAATGTGGGAGCCAGGTGTGCCTGTGCCTTCTCCTCTGTGCCCCGGACACCTGCCCTCCCCTGGCTCCCATCCTCCTCGCTGGTGACTTTATCCGGCCCAGTTCTGAGGCCCCGCTCACCACCTGCGGCGTCTGCACGCCCCAGTTACGGCTGAACTGGGTCCTCCCCAAATCCACGTGCTGAAGCCCTGACCCCCCAGGACCCGAAAATGTCACTGTAATTGGAAACAGGGCCTCTACA